ACTGACTACAATAGTTTTTACAAAGGACGTTCAATACAAGGACTATTAAAATTATATTATGATATTCAAGCAAAGATTTTCAATAACTGTGAACTTTTATAATTATTTCTGGCAAGCTTTTAAAATTGGTTTTGAAAGTTCAGTAGAATTCTAAAATTTGCATTCCTTGGTCAAAAGGGCCACCAGCGGCTGATATGTAAAATCACTGAACATTGGTAGTTCTGAGGTTTGATTCCCACCAACAGGCTGGCTGCACAGGCATTTTTGTGGTTTTTCTCATGTGTAATGTGTATACGAGCTGGTTTCCCTTCAAAAGTCCTCGAAGAAGGCATCCCTTCCCTTAGGCAGATAGGCCTTGAGTGCTTTGCCATAATCAAATAAACCAAAAGAAATCATTGGTCAAAAATACTATATTCAAAATATATAGATCATTATTCTATGATTTTTTTCAATTCTCTTGTTTTCGTAACTCTCTAATGCGTTTTCTTAAAAGCCTTTTACTCTTTGAAGAGGGGGAATGTGTAAGATATAACATACATAACTCAAAATTGTGAACTTTAATTTGGCAGTAGTCCATTTTGCTTCCCATTTTAATGTGGCTATCTCCCCTTTCTCTTCTAAATTGTTTATAATATTATTTCTGGACTGCATCTTTCAAAATTAATACATTTCATATTTTCTTATCAAATCATGCTACATTGTGACAGCTCTTGTCTAGTCAGATTAAGGAAACTATTGTGTATAAATACTGTTGCTACTATTGCACAGCCTTTTTTTTTCTCTGCTTCACTTGCTGCTGGCAACATGTGTGTTCTCATTGCTCTGCTTTGTTCATTGTTCTAAAAATGTAATCCCTTATATAAAAGTGTGGAGGCTGCTTTTGAATGTGAACATGATTATGCTTATTAAGAAGGTTGACAAATAAATTAATTATTATTTTCATCAAATTTGTCTTCGTTATGTCATCTTGTGGATCTATGCATTTAAAGCCTTTCCAAGTAATTTCAGATAACATCTCATCATTTATGGCTAATTTCAAATCATCAAGTCATCTATTAATTATTATACATGCAAAATTAGTAAGAAATAAGTTTCCTACTTCAGAGAGCTCCAGAAGGGACAGTATGGTGTGGTTTTACAGCTACCTTTACCATTGGACCATATTTTTTGAAGAGATAAACTGCAAATAGAATCCAAACATGTTCAATCACAGGATAGCGGTATCGTGATATTCTGAAGGATTTTCTAATCCCACAAATTCAACAGTGTGGATGCCTTCAGGACATCATTTTAATTCAGGCTGGTACACCTCCTCACATAGATTGTCGTGTAAAGCAATTGCTAAGGCAGCATTTTACGATTGAACAGGTGACCAGCCAGCATTTTCCAACAGCATGGCCTCCTCATTCGCCGGATATCATCCCTTGTGACCTGGTTGTGGGGTTTCTTGAAGGACAATATATCTATTGTGAAAGGCCAGCATCTGTGCCAGATGTGAAAGGCAGCATTTGACGGCCATGTTCTTGATATTCTGGCAGACTCACTCCGGTCAACTGTGAAAACTATGATTCTGTGATAAGAGCACATTGTTGAACATGAAGGGAGACACTGAACATTTATAATGTTACTTTTTTTATATTATTTAACGTTTATAAAGCATATTAAATGTTTTATGTGTATTTCAAGGCAGATATATGAAAATATTTCATTTAATAAAAGTCAAGCTCATCATTTGAATTATCTGTAGTTAAAATTTTATCTTAATTGGACCAATAGAATGCATTCTAGCACCCTCTGAAGTGGGCAGTTTATTTCTTGCCAACATTGTGTGTGTGTTTATATAGAGATATATACTTTTAATATAGATATACTTGCATATTTATTTAAATTTTTGTTAGTTGTTTTGGTGATCCTTGAAAAGTTGCACTAAAATTTGTTAAGTAAGGGTAATCTAGTAGTTGCACATTATGACTGCAACCAGTATCGTTATAAAAACTCGTTACTTGAATGGCTCATTGTATAGATATAAAATGAAAAGATAAGACTGCTTTAAAAGTACTACAAATGTCAAATACTTCGCATGAAATTTATTGGGGGGCACTTTAATCCCTATCACGAAGAGTAGTGAAACATTTCATAATGAGGAGTATTTCTGAGAATATGGACATCAGTTATTGAATATGAAGACTGTATCAAAAATTTTATGTTTCTGAATATCAATATGTAGGGCTTTCATAGAAGACAAAAACTTGCCTCGAGCTTGGTCTGTTATCTTCAGGATGTCTTAGTGCAATTTATCAAATGTTGATCAATATCACATTTGAGAAAAATTGTGAATGTTTCCAAGTTATTTGTTTTAATTTTAGTAGTTAGTGACTGCAATTTCTCACAGCATATAGTGTGTGGGGAGTTACAGTAAATTTCAACATTTTTTATATTCTCAGAATGTCAGTAAATATAAAAAATATGTTTCCTAGTTTAGTTACCAATGGAATAGATCGGTTGGATTTTTTTTTTTCTTTTTGTGTGTGTGTGTGTGGAGGGAGGAGAGGGAAATTCATTATTTAAATACAAACTAGTTTTCGTTTTGAAAAATTGAATAAAATTTGTGAGTTATAATCACTTTGCATTTTTTTATTTGTATTGTTTATTATTATACATAAAAAGTTAGGATGAACTTTTCAAATTGGTTGCATTTTTGTAATTTTAAAATGGGTTTTTTAAATCACTATTCGGCTAATTAATTAAAAATTTACTTATAAAGAATATAAAGCCTTTTCACATGGGCTATACCGACTAATTTTTTATGTATAAAAGCCATTTAGTCAACTATTCAATCAGTAAGGACGATGAAACAATGGAGTCTGCTATTTCCTGTTCAGCACTAAGCCGCAAATTTTAAATCTATAGTAAATTAAATTTTTTTTGGGCCTTATATAGTGTTGTGATTGTGTGGAACATGTATGTCCCAGCCCCCAGGAAAAGTTTAATTCTTCTCACATAGTCATGGAATAAAATTTAAAGGTTACAAACTTTTTAGAGTAATTATTGCAATGACTGATGTACAGATTGAGTTCTAAAATAAAACAGGTAAAAAATATGTGTTCAGGCTTTCACGTCATGTGATATAAATTGAAATTGCATTGAATCTCCAGCATTCCCCTGCCTATTTTGGGTGGGTTCTAAATGAATTATGTAATCTTTGTACATAATATAGGGTAGCCCATGGGTACACGCTATTTAATTTTAAAATGAAATACAGTAAGTTATTTATTAATTGTGCATTTTTATTACAGTCAAAAGTCTTTAATCCGGACTCGTCGGGACTTCGGCGATTCCGGATTATCGATTTTCCGGATTATAGATAATCAGTTTAAATCTGGTAAGATGGCATGCAGAAATTATAAAATTGAAAATATGAAACCGTAATTTATAAAATAATGAGCAATTATGATCTAAAGGGTATCAACATTTACAAAAAAAGAAGCTTAATATTTATTTGTTTACTTTATTAAACATTTCTTTCAATGTGCGCATGCGTAAAGCATACCTTACGCATAGCCGAAATTAGAAAATTGCAACCAGAAAACTATTTGATTTGTATTCGTGATATTTATAATGACGAGGAATTTGATTTAAATCATATCAAAGACGGAGTACATCGAGATTAAATACTACATTTAGTAAGGAATTATAAGCTGAATAAAATAAAAACATCTGCCCTGAAGATAACAATAGTGCTGACAGATCAACTTCCAGTTCATTGCGCGCCGCCCCCCCCCCCGTGCAGAGCAGCGTGAAATTGATAAACAGATTTTGGAACGGTTAGATAAACAAAGGATATGGCTTTATCCATTTTTTGTTTGATGGACATCGAAACATACTTTTCGTTTTCTAGATCCTTTGGGAGCTCCAGCATCGGAAATTCTATTCCAATCCGGATCCAATTCGAAGATTAAGGAACAACGCAATCATCAACATTAACTGAAATAGATAATTAGATAATTTTAGCCTATACCGTCTGTTATACATTAAACGCACACGCGAAAACGTCGCAGACGCATATGCGCAGTTGTAAATGTCTTGCGCGCACGCGTAAAACGCCTATGCGCATGCGCAGAAAGATTTTAGCTTTGAGCTCCGGATTATGGGTGTCCGAATTAACGACTTTAGACTGTAATTTGTAAAGTAAACGTCAAAATAATTACGGAATATGATGACAACCAAATGTCCACTGTGTCTGTGCTGGCATGCCCTGACACTTTTGATCAAATTTTCAGTTTTTTTTTTTTCCAAATTGGCTGAGTTTCAGCAATAATGCTTTTGTTTTCTGTTTCCAGTTCAGGGATTGTTTGTAGTTTCTTAGCAAAACGGCCTTAAACAGTACAAAACCCGAGAGCAAAAAAAATCGCATGGCTGCAAGTTCTGTGTGACCAGTTAGTATTAACATTTCTTTAAATCAAATGACCTGAAAGCCATTGTTTTAGCAAATCAATGATTTTCTTGCTGACACCACCCTGTTAAAATCATGTTTCTTCAAGGTCTGTATTATCCATAAAGTATTCATTAACATGTCATGATATATTCCATTTACAGTGAAAGCGATTTTTATTCATAGAGATCTATTTTAGTAACACAATGACTGCAGATGACAAATGTCAAACATTAGGGTTGCCAGCTTAAGTATAAAAAATCTCTAATATCCAGGGGTCCACCTTTTTGAAGACCCCTAGAAAAATTAAGTGTTAAAGGATAATTAAATATGAAATTTAACTGTATTCAATTGTTAATTAACATATTTGTTTTATAAGGCATAGTTTCCAAAAATAAGCATTCCTCATTCTTTAAATATGCATTAAATAGAGATGTATATTATTTTACAAAATTTAAAAAAGTCCTTAATTATTATATTTTTTCAACATATTTCTTTGCTTCTTTTTAAGAGTTACAAGTAAAACTAGATAATAAGTACCATGATATTATAATATTTTTTTAAACAGTTTCTGCTAATGCAGTAAAGAATGGAGAGAGTTTTTTACCACATAGTCGAAGTTCTCAGCTGCAGCAGTCTAAGGATAAAAGAGAAAAGTGAGTATTTGTAATACTGTTACTTTCTATTCTTAAGTGTGATTTATAAATTTTGTAATCTTTAAATCTGCATTTATAGCACAGCAGCATTATAAAGCTCATGAGATCTCTGTAAATTCATTTTTTAGGAAAGAGACTGTTGTGCATGAGTATAGTGCGACATTCAAATAGGGAAATATGCAGTTAAATTCTTTAATAGTATGATTATCATTTTTTAAAATTGTAGTTCTTGTTTATGACTAAAAGACTAAATGTATCCCCATGACAAAATTTTCTGAACTTTTTCCAAAATTTTGATGATAACTTGGAAAATTATTTAGGCAGCTTGTTGTCTATTAAAAATATTGACTAGAAATAAAACGTATTTAATATGACAGAGGTTGTTAAAGAAGCCTGCTGTTATTGCCTTTTAATTGATCAGTTACAAGCAATAAAAGAATATAATTTTGTAGTACATTTTTTTGTGATATTTATATTTATTTCTTCAGGAGTTTTTAAACTAAAAAGTGTACCCAAATAAATTTTTTTATCAAAATTCTGTGTTTTAATGTGGGAAAAAGAGCTTGAATTCTCAAAATTTCTCATAGAGAGGATTTGTGTCTGTATAAATTGATATAGATTTTTGATATTTAATTATTCAGTCAAAAATTTTCCATTCAGATTCTACGTACTATTTACCTTATTGCAGTACTTATTTTTTCAGTGCACCATAAATAAAAATAAATACTACATTCTTTAGCTATTAAGAAATGACAGGAACAGTTCAAAAATATGGCAGGCCATGTTGAAGAAATGAAACTTAAAATGAGATTAGTTCTTGGTGCAAATTTAGCAATGTGCAGTGTTTTTTTAATTTAAATGATAAGGATAAAAGTATAAACCTATATAACATTCATTCATTTTATGAAAAGTATAATAAACTTTAAAACATGGTCTGCAGTATAAGAAATCTCATTAAGTCAATGCAACTGGATATCATTACTTCAAATTATATTTCAGGCATTGGCCAACCGGGATAGTACTCTGACTGCTGTACTGAAGGGTCTATTTTCAAATCCTGGAGAAGGCATGGATGTTTGTAAATGTATAGCATCTGTGAGCCATGAGAGCACTCCAAATATGTGGCGAGCAGAAAGTCTTCTTGAGAGGTTGATGGTAGAGAAAGAGGTGTCGAAGGTTCTCAAACCCATCTCCCTGGGAGTGTTATCCATCAAAATTGTAGGTGGAAATGAGCAGAGTCGTATTGTCAGCTGTATGGTGGTCAAGGCTCTTGCCAACGACAGGCACGATCTTGCAGTCCTTGTCATGATGAATTTTGTGGGCTTGTTCTGGTGTTGCTGTCAGACAAGTGAGAATAAGTCACAGCACAACAATATTTCATGGGTGTGTCATAGTAGAATTCAGAGCATCCTAGTTGCACTTTCAATAAAATTGAAATATAACAGACAAGAAGCTTGTACTGTAAATGCAACTTACACTGGGTAACCTGAATGCTCTGAATAGTATTTAATCATTGGTTGAACACAGGCCTGAATTGTTTATGCCACTCATTGTAGAGCCATTAAATTGTTAATTTCCTTCGCAAAGTGTTCTAAAAGCTCTCCCTCGCCCATTCAGAAACCATGAAGTGTGTATAGCTTGCAGTTGGTTGTCCAACTTATTTTGCAATTTTAAGGCATAGGTGAAGAAATCTCTACAGGAGGTTGTTCGCACTTTATGAAATTGATTTTCTATTTAAATTTATCTGTAAGCATTTTGAGATAAATGTTTGGCATTTTCAACAGAATCATATGCGACTGTTTTGTTTTGATTGGAATGTAGACTTGGAAATTTAGTTTGAAAATGGCTCTTAAAACTGGTAAACAGTTCAAAGGTTGTATAAATACACTTTCAGAGAAAAAATATTCTTATGAACAAATTGTAAAGAGTGTAAAACTGAGGTTATTTCATTTGAAAGAAAGGTATTTTTAACATATTAAATTTGAAAGAAAATACCTGAAAGTAAAATGAAAAAAAACCACATCCTAAGATTGTTTGGACACCTGATGAGGCATAGGTAAATTTAAGTGAATGTGATGAAGAAACAAGATCAATTTTCTCTTGCTCAACTGATGAAAATAACCACCTGAAATAGCTTTCTTAATACATAGAAAAGTTCCCACCAAGAATCATTTCCATCCTCAGTGGGGTAGTTGTAGGATTTTGTTGTGATGGTAAATTAAAACGGTGTCAAGTAAGGCACTGTGCTACAAGCAAATTATTTTAGAACCAATTTTTGAAACAGAAATTCTGGTTGTGTGTGGAAAGGACACTAGTAAAGTTGAGCTTCATATAGACATTCTAGTCTTATGTCCAAATCAACGTTTATTTAGCAAAGAAATAAGCAGATTTAAACAATCTTTTTATTAAGTAGGAATAACATGTATCCTATTTAGTGAAATACTTGTAAAATCATCTGACACTTCTCCTGTGGACTTTCATTCTTTGGGTTTGTTAAAGCGATGCAAGATTATACTGTATGTAGAACTAGTACTAAAGTCTTGCAGACCCTACTAGACTAATAGCGAATTATTGCTTTGTTGTAAGGTTTTTTATGTTAACTAAACAATTATTATGATTTTGATCTTTAACGTTTTTCCGTATTCTTCACCAGAATGAAAATTAGCATTAGTGCATTTAAGCAAAAGGCTTCTGTATCTTAGACAGTTTCTCGCATTCTTGCTGTACTGTTAGATTCTACCAGCTCTATTTAAATGTAATTATCCCAACTTTGCATTTTCTCAGAGCCAAAACTAGTGTGCTAGTAAATTATTTGTGCCAGCGTGTAGCATAGCTATTTGACTGTATAGTCATAGACTGCTTCATAAACATTTAAATTTAAGTGACTGTTATTGCTCATTTTAACCACGTGTAGTGGTCTGGCTGTACCTTGTGTTGTGCCTGTTTCATTAGAAGTTCAGTGTAATAAAAGGTTGTTTAAATCTTTGTCGTACTGTAGCAATAATTCGTACTGTAGCAATAATTGTAGGCCTGAAGTTCCTGTATCAGATCCTGTATAGGCCAATAATATCTAATTATGAATACTGAAGAAGGTCTGAATAACCTTTTAATTTTAATCTTGAATAGAACAGGCCACAGCTTGTGCTATAACAAAATCCATTGCCTTGTGGTTATTTAAATTAACAACAGAATACTAAATTTCACTGTAGGTAACATAGTCTGAGATTACACATAAAATTTAGGTTGACTGAGTATTTAGCCTGACTCAGGTGTTTACTAGCACATATTTGAAAGGCTTCAGCTAGCAAGATGCTAAAGCCAAAATATAACTAAGTAGAGCTGGCAAGATTAAGTAACATCAGAAATGCTGCCAGAAGTTATCGTCTAAACATTCAAAACTCTCAGCTTAAATACACACCACTAATTTACATTCTGATGAGGAATACGAAAAGAAATAAAATATATAGTACAAGCTTAAATCATAATAATCGGTTAGTTAACATAAAATACCTTGCAACAACATCCAATACCACAACTTAGGAAAACAACATCCAAGAAGAGTGGAATAAAATTGAAATCATGGTGCTAAAAAACCTTTACTTTCATGGAAAATTTGAGCTATAGCCAAGAATCAAAGCTATCAGGTAGAAGTGAATTATCACAAGAAATACACACTGTGTGCATAAAAATTAAGTATCAAAATTGTTTCCATAAAGTGTAAATGACCTTTTGTATATCATAAAGCTTCATTTGTGATAAGTGAGAAAGATGTGAACTTTTCTCTGGTCTATAAAATGGAGCAGGACAGTTTCCTTTGGGTGCCATCTTATCTCAGGCCAGAAGAAATGTCTACGTGCACTTTTTATTTCTCACTTAAATTTCAGAATAATCTGTCATGGCCTGCTTTTGATTCTATGAAATTAGCACTCTGTTATTGTTCCTTAGTGCTACTGCAATACTGTTGGTTAAGAAATAACTGTGAGATTTAATGTGGCCTTATATTCTATACTTTCTAAATTTTTTTAAAAAACACTTTTCATCCAAAGAACTGCTTTGCACCCCTGTGTCCAGTAAAGCATCTCACAAGATTCCATTTAAAAATTTTTAATGGTCGGGAGTCAAAGTTTTTAATTAGTACCACATTTAATTGCCTGTGAGAGGCTTTTTCTTTCATCATCACTTTCTCTGACCTACAGCACTCCTATCTAATTTAAAACTTTACACTTATCATCACCCCCTTTTATTTTTCGAGCTTTAGCTTGGCCATTGCTATTAACAGAAAGAAACTTTTACCAACCCTCAAAATATTTCTTGTAATAAAATTTGATAACTCTTTCAGCTAGGGGTTTCCCAAAATTTTTGCTATTTTCATTGCATTCCTGCCTATGCTTATCCACTGATATATCAATTTTAAAATTTCCCAGCTAATTCGAAAACTGTTCTAGGATGTCAGTGTTTCTTAACTCAGCAAAATCTTTTTTATGCTGCAACAGTTTGAGTAATGTTATCTGAATAATTCTACATCAGTCCCCCCCCCATATAACATGTTCACCACCTGTTTTTTTCTCTGAGTAAAATCAGTTACCTCATTAGTGTTTGTCTGGTATTTACCAACTTATAATTCTCACTACCCAGTTTGCCTAGGAGATATTTTCCAGTCTTCTTATACCAACTCAGTGCTTGACCTTGCAGGGAAACTGCTGCTCTAAGAACCTTTCATATTTCTTCAACCGGGAAAAAAAAAAAAAAAAAAAAAAAGCTTTTGATAAAAGAGGGCTGTGCTTCTGTAAAATGGTTTCATTAATGCATAGCATCTGCAATTATGGGTCTAATTGGTGAAGTAGACATTTGAAATCTTGGAGGGAGAGCAGGCTAAAAGTTTTCTGCTGTGGCTAGAAGCGTAGCTCATAGTCCTTCAGAGTGTACTAGACTGAAACACAAGTTATCACTTTAGTCTGTAGCAATGATAAAATCATAAGAAGGTTAAAATAACCTTTCTGTTTAACTCTTTAAATTAACAGAAGGTGGTACGTGTACAACAGATGAACCTCCAGCTACTTACAGGTATTTGAAGCTGTACTCAAATTTATGTAACATAGTCTGGGACAACAGGTAAAATAAACTATTTAAGCTGGCTGAAGTAATTAAAGGTGTGTATTTAAACTTCAGCCAGCAAAAAATGGCTAAAGCTGAAATAAAACTTTGACAGAGCTGGTGAGATAGTACATAACTGTATGGTGAGGATGCCAGAAGCTCTTTAGAACATTCAGGCCTAATTAATATAAAATCCTACAACCTCAGTTTTACTGTAAAAGCTAAATGTCTCAAGGTTCAGATTTTTGTGTCAGATGAAAATGCCTTTTCAGTAATGATTTCATTAATATATTCAAAAGAGTGATAAAATTGGTGTGACTTTCTCTGAAGGAAAATTCAAAAGTTTTCAGGATTCATCCATCCATGATTATACCTTAATTTGTTATTGTACGCTGCTATTTATGGTGATGAGTAGGTCTCTGCAGTGACAATTTTGATTCTGAAAGCTGAACGGCATTTTTGTAATCTATATCTTCAGTGATAGTAGTCTGTGTCTTTGCTAATTAATGAGCTATGACTGTTAAGCCACATTCATGCTTTTCAGTGTGAAAAATGGCTGAAGAACATCTTTTGACTATTATGTTTTTGGGAGCAGTAATGCAGAAGTGTTCATCAGTAAAAACAGTGAAAAGTAAAATGAAGGAATTATATTTATGTATTACAATCATACTGCCTGCTAGTTTATTTTGGGGAAAAGTAAATTGTTATACATCTGTTGTGTTTGAAAAACAAGAGAACATGTTCTCAGTAAAGTAAGAAACTATAAGTTTGCTCTAAAGAGAAGGGGGGGGAAAAATGTCTGCAAACATCAATAGGCAACTGTTTCTGGTAATCAAAAGGCAGGTTCCTGTTCCCAAAAAATTGCCCCAATTTTTTTCTTTCTTTGAAAGTTTGCTTTCATGCTCTTTGCTAAGTATGTGTATCACAGTTTGAATCAGTTGCTGTAATTTATTATTTGTCATTGAAATTGGAGATGGTTTTCAAATATTATAAAGGAAAAAATTAGAAAAATGATAAAAAAAATTCATGATGTGAAGGATTTAGTAGATACATGAACTGCAGTTCCAATTTTGCAGCGGTGTGAAAGTATGTGAAGACCCATAGTATTGGATGATTTTGGTCTTTTATGTGGATAGTCATGTGATTATCAATGATATTTAGTACCATTATTGAAATATGTTCTTAGACTGTCCCTGTCAAAAGAAGATGTATTGAGAAAGTGACAACCATGAGAAGTCTTCTGAATTTTATGAGAAACATTCTTCAGAACAGCTTATAGAACTTATAAAAAAATGTGTATAAGGTATTTGTTATTGTGTTTAATAATACTTATAATAGACTTCTGTTAATTTCAGTAATTCAGGTCACCTTATATGATAATAATCGTAATTATTAATTTTTTGCTATCCACTCGTAATAAAAAAGTGGATAACTGAATTCTTTCTATGATTCTTTGCCTTTTGACTGATGAACGCTCAGGAAATTTCAACTTTTTCCCTGTAAACATGAAAATGCATTATTTAGTGTATGTAAAGTAAATTTACTCTAAAGAATTTTTTAAAATTTAAGTAGTTACCTGTTTCTGAAAATTTTTTTAGAGTTGGTCATGGTGGGCTTAATGCTGACAGGAAGCTGGTGAAATTACAAGCAACGTTGCAACAGTTAGAAGAGATGATGAATGCTCTTTCTTCTGAAGCTCGTTCTCAGGATACTAATTTAGAATCAGCTGATGTTTCTTCTTCTCGGCTAGATTCAAGGTATTCTTCGTTTAATCTCACTTCATGTCTGTGCTCTTTTTTAATCCACAAGTATTGAAAGGATAAAATATTATTTTTGTCAAATTTCAAGTATCTCTCACCATTTTGGTTTTTGAACTATTAAAGGAGTTAACCTACAGTGTAATAAATTTACAGATTTAAATTATATTTGTAGTATAAAATTGTCAATAGTATGCTATTTGCCAGATTGATTTTAAAATGGATGTTTGAAAAATCTTTTTTCATAATTCTTTTTTGTTGCATGTAGTTAAAAAGCAGATACTGATTTTTTTTTTCCCTTTTCTCTTCATGGTTAAGGCGTGCAAGATCCATAACATCTGTAAAACGTGACAATGTAAGGAAAGAACAGAATTCAGGATTTCCTGCTCGTCGTCATTATGAAGCAGAAGGAAGAGCTAATGAAGATGCAGATGTGCCTGCAGCTCAAGCTCCAGTTTTGCCTCTTGGTCTGGACAAATTGCGCGATCATCCCGAAATTCAAGACAAAATTGAAAAAATAAGGTTATTTGTTAAAATTTTCATTTATTATTTTCAACCCTCGTGTGTCCTTGTACAAAAAAAGGTTTCCGTGTTTAAAATTTTTATTTTTTAACTTTATAATTTAACTTTTGGATTAATACATGTTAAAAAAATATAATCTCTCTCAGAACTTCATAAAACATAGCTTCAAATAGAAATGTGAGTTAAAGTTTATATTCCAATGTCAAGCATTTTCTTGTGTAGGAAAATAAGGTAGATTCTGGTCAATCATTGTGAATTAGTAGTTGAATCTCAGAAAATTTAAACATTCTGCCGCTGAATAAATTCTGTAGTTAGTAAGGCATGGATTCTTTCATAATGTGAACCATGTGTATACACTGAATCTTGTCATAGTTATCACTTGTGATTGATTGATTGGTATTTCTGAGAGCATAAATATTGATATTGGTCATTGTAATAATAATCTCTATCAATATCACTACCAGAAATCTCAATAATTTGGCATCAACCTAAAATATTTAAAGTCCTGTACAAATCAAGAATGTTCATTCAGTTTTTAATAGAGCTACTGTTTACAGGAGAAAGCAGTTACTAATAATTTCTAGGTCATTAATGGTGCCTTTGTATTCAATTTCTTATGACAGTTGTTTCTATCATCACATTTCTCAACTGTTTATATTGATTTTTCACTTCCTACTTTATTATTTATATGAAAATGTTAAGATGATGACAGATGTGTTTAAAAAGGTGAAATCCTTCCAGATGCCTATGCTGTTCTAAGAAGCCAATATTTTCTGCTGGAAGTAGGAAATGAAGGAATCCTATCTATATCCTTAACTGAGTTCTGTAAAACAGGTTAATCCATTTAGGTCTCAAATTGTTTTAGAAGGGAAAATTGTAAGGGAAGGACAGTATCCGATAGTTGGTACCAACATATGAATATTTTAATGAGCAAAATATTCTTTTTAAACATTTTTTTTTTTAAGCTATACCCACAAAATCTGTTTTTCCTATTTTAAAAGAGTGGATGACAAGCTGTGTGTTGATGCGGTGTGCTACACATTATGTTTTCTTCCAGCTTTTGCCGATAGAATAAATAATAAAGACCAATATAAAATTACATGCATATGAAATGAAGAATACCTTTTTTATATGTTATTTACATCCGTAAGGTATAATACAGCACTGAGCACTCATGCAAAGCAAAGTCAGAATATATCCCCTCTTGTGAGGCTTTCAGGAATCTAGAAGCGCAGTGTGTATTTGTGTACTGTATGCTATCAACAGCACAAATATATATATTCATTAAGAAGTCCAGGGTCAATAGAGGTAATCTTTCCATGAATTTTCAACCGGCTGCAGAAAGTGTCTGGCCATTGGGTGGTTACCGCTGTTTTCAAATATTACTACTTCCAGAAAATTAAAGCTGGTATCACACTGACAGACATGAAATCCAATAGGAAACTTTTCCTAGAAATGCATTTTGCCAGAACTATTTTTAAAGGTGGGATTGTTGTTGCAATATTTTGTCTGAGTTGCAAAAAAGTTCTTTTGGCTATCATCTTTTCTATTGGTGATTAGACAAAGGTACAGAAGGATCTCAGGATCTCAGTACTTAGAACAAGTATGTAAAATTCCTCAAAGCTAAGCTTGCTTCCTAGAAAAATTACTTTCGACAAGGTGTTGAGGGAAACTGTTGTCTGTTTGGATAGCACTTCAAATATGAGAAATTTTCCCTAAATTTTATTTCATTATTCATTAATCATTTCAGTAGTTAATTTTTGATTTTATTAATGAATAAGCATACCACATTATTACATCCTTGAACAGGATGAAGCACTTTTGGAAGCTAATAATTGCAATCAACAATAACCATTTGTAAAAAATTTATGAGACTTGGGTTGTTTGGAAAGTAATGTTGTTTTTTCTCAACAGAGGGTTAATAGTATTTTTTCACAGCCAACTTCACACTTTAGCTGCATATTCATAATATATAATGACAGCTGATATAGCATGGCTTGTTTATGAAAAAGTTTGATTGATGCTATGTAGTACTTTTTGCCCAGTACCCTTTCAAATATGGAAAGTGAAAAAGCAGCATTTTCGGCATATTTTACTTTTTTAATATTGAAAAGGTAAAAATGCTGTTGAAGCAAGAAGAAAAATTATCCAATGTGTATGGAGATGTATTGACAGAATGGCAGTGCCAAAACTGGTTTAAAAATTTTGATCTTGAAGATGCACCACATTCTGGAAGGCTATTTGAAGCTGATGAAGACACAATAAAGGCTTTAATTGATGCAAACCAGCAAATAACAACTTGTGAGATTGCTGAGAGGTTAAATTTATTGAATTTGACTCTTCATGATCATTTGAAATGCCTAGGTTTCATCCCAAAGCTTGACATATGTGTGCCTCATGTTCTCACGGAAAGAAATTTTTGCTGTTGCATTGACGTTTGTGATTTGCTTCTCAGACATGAAGAAAATTGCCCATTTTTGAAGCATATCATCGCTGGGGACAAGAAGTGGGTTGTCTGCAACAATGGTAAATGCAAGACATAAGGAGCAAAGAAGACGAACCGCCTCAAAGCACTTAGAAAGCCGATATTCATCAAAAAAGACAATGCAACCACTTGGTGGTATTTCAAAGGAATTTTTTTAGCTTCTACCGGACAGCACAACGATCAGTTTTGAAGTGTATTGTAATCAGCAGGACAAATTGAATGAATCACTTAAAAAGAATATCCAGATTGGATCAATAGAAAAGGTGTATGGATAATGGGAAACCTCATCCAAGTTTGGTATTTTTCCAAAAGCTTTTACAACGTGGTTGGAATATACTGTAACACTCACCATATTTTTCAGATCTGGCGCCTCCTGATTATTATTTGTTTCAGTCTGTACAAATCTTTTTTAGATGGTAAAATCTTTACTTAAAATGAGGTAAAAAATCACCTGTATCGTTTTTTGCCGCCAAAGGAAAAAATTATGATGATGCCAGAAAGATGGCAAAAGGTATTAGACCAGAACAAACAATATATAATTCAATAAAATATTTACTGACTATAAGAAAATCTTTTATTTTCATTAAAAAAAAATTAATTACTTTCCGAACACCCAACAAATGCAAAATGCTATAAATTTCTTTGGGAAATGCATTGCTGCCAGAAATATACAGTATAGAAGCAAAACCCTTTCTTTATTGGTTGATCTATGTAAAAAGAGCTGACGGCACAGTTTTCTTCCCACTATTGTAAATTATTGCAGGTATACATGCAAATGAGATTGATGAACATGAATTTTTCTCCAATGCTGCAGTTAGAAACCTGCCATTCGTACCTATTCTGGAAGAATCACATATTACAAAAAACGTTTCTTATTGCTTTTACACCTGTATTTTTCACAAGACATTTAATTAATTACCTCCACAGAAAACCAAAATTGTCTGAAAGCATGGGTGATCATTAGAGATCACATGATTGATTGTGTATGATTAATCATAATGCTATTTGATAAAAGTAGGCATAGAAATTGAAATTCTTTTAAGGAGGTTCTTTTCTTTAAGAATTGGTAAATCAAAAATGGAATAATTCATAAAAATGAAATACTTATACAGGGTTGCCACGCTACCTGGAAAACCGGGAGAACGGGAAAAGTCAGGGAATTCAAAAATTGACCAAAAAATTCAGGGAAAAGTCAGGGAATTTAAGTATTTTTGTCAAAATCTGGAAAAGTCAGGGAAGTTCATACAATGATCCCGCCAAAAAAAGCGATTTTTGCGCCGACTTTGGAAGAGATAACTTTTTTGGCGAATTGCCTATCACGTGAGTGTCTGCTGGCATAGAGCCAATTTTCGCAGCTCCAGTTTGATTGCCTTTTAGAAAGGCAAAGCAAGTTTCCCGCAACTTTTGGTTTCCAGTATTCTCGAGAATCGCATGTGCAGTGCATGAACTAAAGAAAGTACCTGTTCTCGTATAAAACAAAATGGGTTTAATCTTAGTATACGGTACCATGGAGGTTAGAATCAAAGAATATGTATTGTAAAGAAGGAAAACCTCTCTGCAACAGACGTGGCTCCGTTCCATCATAGAGGGAAACAGCTGTGCATGCGTGATATATCTGCCGCCAAAGCTGGAAACCGGTGTCGAAGTTCGAAGGTCACGTTATCAAGAGTTCATTAAATGAATATCCTTTAACCACTTGCGCTAAAAAGACGTGCCACGCACGTCGAGATGTTTTTGTCTCAAACTGCGAGCGACGTGAACACCACGTCGATAAGCATTTATCGCAAAAATGAAAATAACATGGTGCACACGTCGCCTAACAACGAGATTGTTTATTTCTCGAGTTACAGCTCTGGATTGCACTCGCAGATGCGGAGCGGCGTAAATGAGACACTTTACCACTTGCTATATTGTAGCGCAACGGCACCGCAACCGTGAAGTTTAGTCTTAGCGCAAGTAGTTAAACTCTAAATTAAAAGAAATATTTTTTGGCGCAAGTAAATTAATTCATAGGTTAGTAATTTTCAGGGGGGGAAAACTACGAAAATCCGTTTTAAAATTATTGCGAAAAATCCAAGAAGAAACGTCCTTTGATAAAACGTTTCTTCTGGATTTTCGCAATAATTTAAAAACGGATTTTCGTAGCTTTCTTTTTTCAAAGAACGTTTCTTCTTAACACATTTCTCAATTTCCGGTACACATCGCGGAGAGGGAAATTCTGGCCGCCAGGTTCCGTCGCCAAATCCCTTGGCAAATTTTCCCTCCGCATTCTAGCGGCGTAATAGCATTTTACTTGTATGGAAAATTTTCTTCTTTACATAGACCAAAGAATTAGAGATTCTTTGCATAGACGTTTTTTGGTTAAAATAATCTCCATGTATGAATTTGGCGACATGATGATGTGCAGTAAACGGGTCATTTTGGTCTTGGCGACAATTTTCAAAATCGTGCCAAAGCCTTACCCTATACTAGAATTTTACCGCAAAATCTTTTTAAACTTTTCTTTTTAATAAAT